ACATTCTGTCCAAATCTGGCCGGCCAAAAAATGAAGCAGAGTAACATAAAATGAAAACATTGGTTCGCCTTTTTGCCCTCCTTCCCTTGGCACCGTGCCCCATGTAGTATATTAAGACCAATTGGGAGACACAGTGGTTAAAAATCACAAGTCGGAGGAGGGACTACGTTCATTTCCAAATTTTATTGTTCCAGTTTTCGCCGGGAACATTTTTATATCTGTACGTGAGGAATCTGAAGGATGGAGCCTGTACAGCACACAGTCTAGAGAAAGTAAAAAATCAATGCACATGTGAACATTCCCAGGGTGGTGCCGAGACGCCTTTGTGTTTTTCAGAAATATGCCCAATTGATGCCGTGGCCAAGTTCTAAAAAAGACCCCAAAACCCATTTTGGCACAAAAACGGGATTCTTTCAAGTATAGACTTGGCTTGTGAGCCCTTGGAAGGCAAACGAAGTCAGGTGCTATACAACGTTCCCCATCCCAAATATTTGACAAAGAAAATTAGATGGGTTTTAGAAATGCTAAACGATAGAAGCATTCGTAATTGAGTTGTGAGGAAGTGGAATAGCGCTGTTAATGACTTTCAAATGGACCAGTGCTTCATCAGGTTGCTGTATTTAGAATATACAATTCTTAGCTTTGGGGAAATTGCGTGCACCCAATCTGGGCATGATGATACAGATTTCAGTTTTTTTATTTTATTTACTAATCAAGTCCCCATAGGATGCCACTTAAATGTTATATGACTAAGTTTCATTGTCTTAGGAGAGGTCAACCCTCCTGTTCAAGGAGCTCCACTGGCTGCCGTTTACCTTCCGAGCCCAATTCAAGGTGCAGGTGCTTACCTACAAAGCCCTGAACGGTTTGGGACCAGCCTACCTGCGTGATCGCATCTCCGCATATGAACCCACGCGTTCTCTTCGCTCATCTGGAGAGGCCCTGATCGTGATCCCACCTGCGTCGCAAGCGCGGTTGGTGGTTACACGAGACAGGGCCTTTTCCGTGGTGGCCCCCCGACTCTGGAATACCCTCCCCAAAGATCTTAGACAGGCCCCTACCTTGGCAGTCTTCAGAAAGAACTTGAAGACCTGGCTGTTCCGAAGTGCCTTCCCCAAATAGGAAACCTCCAATACCAAGTCCCATAAGCACTTTATTAAAACTAAGACTGCCGCACACTGCACATTGCCCTATTAGCCTTATAGTCCACCTGTCACACCAGCACTTTTTAACTCTTGTACCCATTACTCTGGCCCGGCCCAGTTTTATTGCGTCTTAGTGCGTATTGTTTATTGCTTGTTGTTTATATTGCTTTAATTGTTTGTAATTTGCCTTAGGTTTTGTATTGTTGTATTGTGTGTTGAGGCCTTGGCCTTTGTAAGCCGCATCGAGTCCTTCGGGAGATGCTAGCAGGGTACAAATAAAGTTTAATAATAATAATAATAATAATAATAATAATAATAATAATAATTAGAGCTGTGGTTGTTACTGTTGGAAATAGCAACCTTCTCAAGCCTCCACTAGTTGTTTGCTATGTTTATTTTTATTTGTCGTGTCAATATTACATTTCTAACAGAACAAAGCAAACAAACAGACAAAATACAAAATTTGTGAGTTTGGTAGTTGATTAAATGTCCTTTGACCAGTATCTGGCCACTTGGAGTGCTTCTAGTGTTGCTGTAAGAAGGTCCTCCATTGTGCATGTGGCAGGGCTCAGGTTGCATTGCAGCAGGTGGTCAGTGGTTTGCTCTTCTCCGCATTCGCATGTCGTGGATTCCACTTTGTAGCCCCATTTCTGAAGGTTGGCTCTGCATCTCGTGGTGCCAGAGCGCAGTCTGTTCAGCGCCTTCCAAGTCGCCCAGCCCTCTGTGTGCCCAGGGGGGAGTCTCTCATTTGGTATCAGCCATTGGTTGAGGTTCTGGGTTTGAGCCTGCCACTTTTGGACTCTCGCTTGCTGAGGTGTTCCAGCGAGTGTCTCTGTAGATCTTAGAAAACTATTTCTAGATTTAAGTCGTTGACGTGCTGGCTGATACCCAAACAGGGGATGATCTGGAGATGTCTCTGCCTTGGTCCTTTCACTATTGGCTGCTACTTCCTGGCGGATGTCAGGTGGTGCAATACCGGCTAAGCAGTGTAATTTCTCCAGTGGTGTAGGGCGTAGACACCCCGTGATAATGCGGCATGTCTCATTAAGAGCCACATCCACTGTTTTAGTGTGGTGAGATGTGTTCCACACTGGGCATGCATACTCAGCAGCAGAGTAGCATAGCGCAAGGGCAGATGTCTTCATTGTGTCTGGTTGTGATCCACAGGTTGTGCCAGTCAGCTTTCATAGATATTGTTTCTAGCACCCACTTTTTGCTTGATGTTCAGGCAGTGCTTCTACATTGTGGTTTCCCTTCTCTCTGCAGGTCTCTGGATTCCCTCTTGGGCAAAGCCACGCAAGGCCTTTCGGTGCTGGACTCTCATTTGGTGGAAATCGATGGCGACGCGCTCTACCTGTATGGCTCAGGGGCGCTGGAATCCCTGGACCGGAACTGGAGCATCCAGACGGCTGGCAGCATTGCCAGCATCTCTTTCGTTTTCATAGACTTTGACGAAATCGTTCCAGTGCTGCCAAAACTGAAGATCAAGTTTCCTAACTTTGTGGTACAGACTTCTTCTCGTTCGTCTTTTGGGCAAGTCATAGAAGGCCAAAGAAGTTTATACATATACATATACATATGTGTGTGTGTGTGTATGTATGTATGTGTGCATGTGTGTGTGTGTATATATATATATACATACATACATACATATACATATACGTATACATATACATATAAACTGAACTTCTTTGGCCTTCTGTCTGTATTTGTGTGTGTGTGTGTATATATATATATTGAGAAGTTCTCTGACGTTTTATAACTTGTTAGGAAAATGATGTTTAATGCACACACACATATAGAGAGAAAACATTAGTTATTATTATTATTATTAACTTTATTTATACCCCGCAAAATCTCCCGAAGGACGCGATGTGGCCAAGGCTGCCAACAACATAGTCAAAGCCATGGTATTCCCTGTAGTAACCTACGGATGTGAGAGTGGACCATAGGGAAGGCTGAGGGAAGGAAGATAGATGGTTTTGAGCTGAGAGTGCCTTGGACTGCGAGAAGATCCAACCAGTCCATCCTCCAGGAAATAAAGCCCGACTGCTCACTTGAGGGAAAGATACTAGAGACAAAGTTGAAGTACTTTGGCCACATCATGAGGAGACAGGAAAGCCTAGAGAAGACAATTATGCTGGGGAAAGTGGAAGGCAAAAGGAAGAGGGGCCGACCAAGGGCAAGATGGATGGATGGCATCCTTGAAGTGACTGGACTGACCTTGAGGGAGCTGGGGGTGGTAACGGCCGACAGGGAGCTCTAGCGTGGGCTGGTCCAGGAGGTCACGAAGAGTCGGAGACGACTGAACGAATGAACAACAACAACTCGCATATGTCAAGGTCTATTTTCCCCCAAGAGTACCTCAAGAGCGCCCCTGGGCAAAATCAACTATACTGCATATGCTTACATTGCGTAATGGGTTGAGCCGCCCCTGCTGTGGAGCCTTATTCTTGATCTGCATCGTCTCCCACAGTGAGGGCATTGGTTTCCAGGTGGAAGGCGGTCTCGGTCAGGGTTGGCTTGATGCGCCTTCCTCTTGGCACGTTTCCCTTTTTCACCCTCCATTCTTGCCTCTGCAAGCACTGCAGCACTGCTGGTCACAGCTGACCTCCAGCTGGAGCGCTCAAGGGCCAGGGCTTCCCAGTTCTCAGTGTCTATGCCAGAGTTTTTAAGGTTGGCTTTGAGCCCTTCTTTCAATCTCTTTTCCTGCTCACTAACATTCTGTTTTCCATTCCTGAGTTCGGAGTAGAGCAACTGCTTTGGGAGTCTGTGGTCGGACATCCAGACAACGTGGCTAGTCCAGCGGAGTTGATGGCGAAGGACCATCGCTTCAATGCTGGTGGTCTTTGCTTCTTCCAGCACGCTGATGTTTGTCCGCTTGTCTTCCCAAGAGATTTGCAGGATTTTCCGGAGGCAGCGCTGATGGAATCATTGCAGGAGTTGCATGTGACGTCTGTAAACAGTCCATGTCTTGCAGACATATAGCATGGTTGGGAGGACAATAGCTCTACAAACAAGCCTCTTGGTATCCCTGCGGATGTCCCGGTCCTCAAACACTCTCTGCTTCATTCAGAAAAATGCTGCACTCGCAGAGCTCATGCAGTGTTGTATTTCGGTGTCAATGTTCACTTTGGTGGAGAGGTGGCTGCCAAGGGAGCGGAAATGGTCAACATTTTCTAATGTTACACCATTTATTTCTGGCATTGGAGGGGGATTGGCTGGTGAGTGCTGGAAGAGCACTTTGGTTTTCTCCATGTTCAATGACAGACCAAGCTTCTCTATGTTTCTGTGAAGGCGTTTAGTGTGGCTTACAGATTTTCTGAATGTACTAGTTAAAATGGCTCTCAAATCTAATCTCTCCATTTTCAAATGATAACTCAAATATGCAGAGCCCCTATTGTATGTCCCCTTTTCTCCTCTAATCTCCTGTTTTTCACCGGGTGTTTTAATTCATCCCGGGTTTCTTCTTCCCCCAGCACTTGAAATTCAAGGAGACGAACTTGGTCATGTTGCAGCAATTCAACGCCTTGGCCCATGTTCGCCGCCTGGAGCAGCTGACGGTGGATGCGGAGGGGAATCCCATCGTCACCTTCACCCTCTGGAAGTATTACGTCCTCTTCAGGCTGAGCCATTTCAACCTGCAAAAGATAAATAGCATAGAGGTAAGTAAAGGTGATGTTTTCAAGGCCTGGGTTGCCATATTCAACAGTTTGCCGAGTTTAGGCCTCGGCAAACTTCAGCCCTCCATGTGTTTTGGACTTCAACTCCCACAATTGTTCGGAATTGTGGGAGTTGAAGTCCAAAACACCTCGAGGGCTGAAGTTTGCCCATGGCAGTTTTAGAAGATGATATTGCTATTGAGAAGTAAACAGATCCTGTCAGAGAAATGTATTAATTCACAATGTAGAGTAATCTAAGAAGATGTGAATTACTCACATAGGGTTTTCTTCAAACACCAAAGAATTGTCGTGAGTTCTGCATGTTGTTTTTGGTGTTGCTTATATGCATTTTTGTGGATCAGGTGGATCCAAAGTAAGAGCTGATTAGCTCAGGAAGCAAAAAAAGCTAAAATTGTTGCACTCCAAGGTTGGGAATCACCTCTGTATGTAACACACAATCCAGTTCAAGATAAAATAGCAAAGCAGTTTATTGAAGAGTGTATATGTATATAAACGTAAACGTAAACGTAGTCCCCTGACATTAAGTCCAGTCATGTCTGACTCTGGGGTGTGGTGCTCATCTCCATTTCTAAGCCGAAGAGCCAGCGTTGTCCGTAGACACCTCCAAGGTCATGTGGCCGGCATGACTGCATGGAGCAAAGTTACCTTCCCCCCGGAGCGGTACCTATTGATCTACTCACATTTGCGTGTTTTCGAACTGCTAGGTTGGCAGAAGCTAGGGCGGACAGCGGAAGCTCACGCCGCTCCCCGGAATCGAACCTGCGACCTTTCGATCAACAAGCTCAGCAGCTCAGTGCTTTAACCCACTGCGCCACAAGGGGGCTCCTTGTATATGTATATATATATATGTATATATTGAAGAGCGTGTGTATATATATATATATATATATATAGTATATATGTGTATATATTGAAAAGTGTACATATATGTATGTATGTTATTTATTTATTTACAGTATTTATATTCCGCCCTTCTCACCCCAATGTACATATGCATGGCACACATTCAATGCCATAGACACACAACATTTATAGACAGTCACACAGAGGCTATTTAACATTCTAGCTTTTTTTCATGAGGGTATTCTGGCCACCAGGGGAGTTGTTGCTTCACTGTCCATTTGTGACACTGATGAAGTATTTCCTCATTGTTTGCATGCTTGCTGGAGATTTTTATGATGTCGTAAATAATAATAATAATAATAATAATAATAATAATAATAATAATAACTTTATTTGTACCCCACTACCATCTCCCCAAGGGACTCGGTGCGGCTTACATGAGGCCAAGCCCACAGTACATCAATAAAGAAAACATCAATAAAACTATCAATACAATACAATTCATATAAATCACATAAACAAAAAATAAGCAATAAACAATTCAATAGTGACATACAAGCATTTAAAACCAATGGCCGGGCCAAATGTAATAGATTAAAATTAAAAAATAATGCTGACATGAACAAGGTATGATATAACTAGGATAGGATTTTTCAGAGAGAATTGAGGGAACGCAGTCAGTCCTAAATCAGTGGTAACGTGCATTTTGAGGACATATTGCTGAGAGTTTTCCTTATTCTGGGAAGGCACACTAGAACAACCACATTTTTAGGCTCCTCCTAAAATTAGTCTTCCCGCATAAGTGGTACCTAAATTTCCTACTTGACAGATGCAACTGTCTTTTGGGCTGCAAAGGTAGACAGCAAGCTACACAAATTGGACGGAAGCTCACTCCAACCTGGGCTGGTTTCGAATTCATGACCTTTTGGTCAGCAGTGATCTTAATGCAGCCGACTCCCAGCCAATCCAGCAAAATAGTGTAAAAACCAGGAATATTCCTCAGAGTTCAGAATACAGGAAATGCATCCAAAACCAGGAATACAAAAGCAGGTAAAGTCCCAACATTCAATACAAGAACAGTCCACAGGAACATGGAACATGGATTCAGGAAGCATGAACACAAGGAAACCTCCAAATCCCTTGGAAGACTTGACTTGGCACCAAAATCAACGTTGTCTGGACTGAGGGAATACTCTGCTGGCTTTTCTAATATAGACAGAAAACTGTGCCATTGCCCTTCCAAAACTGATAAGGGCTTCTTCGTTAATAGGTGAGCTGACCGTCACGAGACACCCTATGTTGATGGAACATTAGTCTTCTATCTAACTGTTGCTTATTAACTCGTCCATCTGGAGTTGCATCTTCCTCCCCTGAGCTCATTTCTGCCTCTGACTTTGCATCTCTAGGGAATCATAGAATCATAGAGTTGGAAGAGACCTCCTGGGCCATCCAGTCCAACCCCATTCTGCCAAGAAGCTAAAAAATTGCATTCAAAGCACCCCTGACAGATGGCCATCCAGCCTCTGTTTAAAAGTCTCCAAAGAAGGAGCCTCCACCACACTCCGGGGCAGAGAGTTCCACTGCTGAACAGCTCTCACAGTCAGGAAGTTCTTCCTCATGTTCAGATGGAATCTCTTTTCTTGTAGTTTAAAACCATTGTTCCATGTCCTAGTCTCCAGGGCAGCAGAAAAAAGCTTGCTCCCTCCTCCCTATGACTTCCTCTCACATATTTATACATGGCTATCATGTCTCCTCTCAGGCTTCTCTTCTTCAGGCTAAACATGCCCAGCTCTTTAAGCCGCTCCTCATAAGGGTTGTTCTCCAGACCCTTGATCATTTTGAGTCGCCCTCCTCCAGACACACTAATAATAAAACTTTATTTATATTCTGCTCTGTCTCTCCAAAGGGACTCAGGGCAGATTCCAAACATAAAAGGCAAACAGTCAATGCCCAAATAAAATAGTAATACACCCATATTCAACCCAACATATAAATATGAATTATAACTTAATGTTGTCTGTATGCCTGACTACCATCTCCCAAAGCAGTTGCTCTACTCCAAACTCAAGAACGGAAAACGAAATGTTGGTGGGCAGGAAAAGAGATTGAAAGATGGGCTCAAAGCCAACCTTAAAAACTCTGGCATAGACACTGAGAACTGGGAAGCCCTGGCTGTGAGTGTTCCAGCTGGAGGTCAGCTGTGACCAGCAGTGCTGCAGAATTTGAAGAGGCACGAATGGAGGGTAAAGAGAGAAACGTGCCAAGAGGAAGGCGCATCAAGCCAACCCTGACCAGGACCGCCTTCCACCTGGAAACCAATGCCCTCACTGTGGGAGAAGATGCAGGTCAAGAATAGGGCTCCACAGCCACCTATGGATCCACAAGAATACTGATCATGGAAGACTATCCTACTCGTCCAACGAGGGATTGCCTAAGTAAGTAAGTAAGTGGGCTCCTTCTCTGGAAGCTTTGAAACAGAAGCTGGATGGCCATCTGTCAGGGGTGATTTGAATGCAATATTCCTGCTTCTTGGCAGGGGGTTGGACTGGATGGCCCATGAGGTCTCTTCCAACTCTTTGATTCTATGATTCTATGGTGGGACCGTTAAATGGGACTAAAATTGAATTTAGCTCTCTGCCTTTTGATACATTGGTACTTTTACACTAAAATAATAATATTTACTTCTCCCTGTGGGGACTCAAGTGATATTGTCCACATGTGAAGCCCTGAAATTTACTTAAAATTGGAAACCCTCATTCATAATTTGTTGCAAACGGATCGCAGTGTCAGATAACAACGGAATATGCCGAGAAGTATAAATTGCAAGATCAACTCTTCCGTTCCCTTTCTGGCACATATTAATTGTGGAGCAGAAGGCAAGGGAGCTGAAGGAATAACCTTCCCTGAAACCTCCCAGAGGGAGGATGACAAGAAGAGGGAATACTTCCCTTTCAGCAATATAAAGGAAAACACACTAGGACGTTTCTCATGTTATCTCAGTACGGATAGGATTTTCTTAGCGATATGTAAATTGTTTTTATGACAATGTTTGAGAACAGTCTAGCACAGGGGTCCTCAAACTTTTTAAACCGGGGGCCAGTTTACTGTCCCTCAGACCGATGGAGGGCCGGACTATAGTTTTTTTTAAAATCAATTAAAAAATTCCTCTGCACATTGCACATATCTTATTTTGCTGTGTGGAAGGGCCCTTAGAGGGAGGGGGTTCTTTCTAGCCCTCTTTAGGCAGTAATTCCAGGAGCAGAGAATGGGAAATCTTCCTATTTCTAGTCTGAACAAAATCTGGCTACCAGTATTAAAAAAAACTCTAAAATTATAACTGTAAATTAAGAACAACACTCAAACACAGGGGAACACCAGACAAGAAACAATCAGGGCCAGCTAATCACCTCTCAACAAAGGATTCTCCCTAAAAACTGTCAGGCTATGAAATGGTAATCAAGGTGGCCAATTGAAACATTCATACCTACCTCCAACAGACAAGAGTTCTTTCTCCCACCCTGGATCTTCCACAATTTTCCTAGTTAAAGGTTTTCCTCTGACATGAAGTCCAGTCGTGTCTGACTCTGGGGTGTGGTGCTCATCTGCATTTCTAAGTCGAAGAGCCGGCGTTGTCCATAGACACCTCCAAGGTCATGTGGCCAGCATGACTGCATGTAGCGCCGGGGCAGCCTCCCTTGGCTGGCTCACGCTGTCCATCAGGCCTGACGGATAGCGTGAGCCTGCCAAGGGAGGAGCAGGCCCGCGCGGCCTACTTGTGAGTAAAGCACCTCGCGAGGTGCTTTACTCGCGAGTAGACCACGTGGAGCAGCCTCCCTTGGCTGGCTCACGCTGTCCATCAGGCCTGACGGATAGCATGAGCCTGCCAAGGGGGGAGCAGGCCCGCGCGGCCTACTTGCGAGTAGACCACGCGGAGCAGCCTCCCTTGGCTGGCTCACGCTGTCCGTCAGGCCCGATGGACAGCGTGAGCCTGCCAAGGGAGGAGCACTGTGGGGGGGGGGTGCTCCTCCTCCGTGGGCCGGATCAGGGCCCTTGGCGAGCCGGAAGTGGCCCGCGGGCCGTAGTTTGGGGACTCCTGGTCTAGCATTTTCAAGGAAAACGCTTTTCTGATTTCTCAGTGAACCTCTGTGATTTAAAGGTTCGAAAAACCCAAGATAATTTACTGCTAGTCACCTTGCCTGTCTTCTGAGGAATCGGTATGACAACCAAATAGCAACAGTAAGAACAGATCACAGAACAACAGACTGGTTCAAGATTGGGAAAGGCGTACGGCAGGGTTGTATCCTCTCACCCAACCGATTCAACTTGTATACAGAACACATAATAATATAAATAAATAAATAAATAAATAAATAAATAGACTGCTTTGAAAACCTATCACTTTGCCCAAGTCTTGAGCCCAATGCAGGTCCTGTGTTATCCCTCTCCTGCAGGTCACACAGAATGACATGGTGATGGCCGAGCGACTCTTTGGCATCCTGGCCTACATCGCCTCCTCTGACGTGCCCTATTGC